TTTTCTCGTAAATTATCTCGTGTTCTCGTTCTCGTATTTTAGCCTTTTCAATAAGCGCTTGAATATACTTTGGCTGCATTAAAAAATAATAAAAAATAAAACATTTAAGTATGATGTTTTAATAAATTTATGGCATTTCTTGCATTGGTGGATAAATCAATGATGTACCATAAGTAAAAATGCAAAGTTGCAAACAATACCTTTTTATCTTGGCGGTCCTGCACTACAGGCTGTACTGATTTCTCCTTCATTTTATCATACACTCCATCATAGTCAAACACTGATGGATCCTCTTCAAGAGCCTTCTTATGCTGCTCTTCAATCTACAGAAAAAGAAAGTTTAAAAAAGGTCCTTTCTTATAAATATGGATCAAAAAGAATGATAAATAAAGTAAATAGAATTTTTATTTTTAGAGAACTGACTCACATCTTTGAGAGATTTATTTTTAGACGCTTGGCGCAATATGTCTCTCTCAACAGAATCGTCGTCGTTGTCGTCAAAACCAAGTGGAGTAGGAAGGGGAGGTCTTGTGAGCTGCTTTTTCTGCTGGGACGGCGGAACTCTAAGTTGCAATCCGTACTTCTTCATATTACTCATTTTCCTCTCAGTGAAATTCGTAATGACTGAAAATTAATCATTTGATCAATAAAGAAGTTTGAGAATTATTGCAAAGGAACTAGGAACATCATAAGCAATATCGAGGTTTCTCCACATTGCGCATTCAATTGACAGACATTTCCTAGAACTCAACATCCAAAACCCGCAGAAAAAGCTACACACAAGTATTAAAACCAATCTTCAGGCCCAATTAAGCAATTACAATGAAGATAAAAAAATCTCTTAGCAACCTAAAAAGCTAACTGCAAGAAAAATTAAAGTGCACATGACCACCCCCGTTTGATGGCCATTTTTAAAAAATGATGTTTTGAATAGTGATTTTTTGGAGAATGAGTGGTTAAAAATATTGGAAGTTTTGGGTTTACATGTAAAATATTTTATTGTGTGAATGTGTGGTTGAAAATGAGTGTGAGAATTAAAGAGTTTTGTTTTAAAGGGAGACAAACAAGAGCTTAAAAGACCAGTGCAAAGTATGTAAAAGCTTAAAAATTCAAGTAATCGCTCATTTTGACTCTCTGAAACAAGGCAGGTGTAGTCTTCAATGCGTAAGCTCGATACAAACCAATAAAATAATTCAAAAAAGACAAAAAAAAAAAAAAAGATTACATATAATAAACCAAAAAGCGTCTTGCAAATCCAAAACAAATAAGTTAACAAATTAAAAGTTTAACTCAGAAACAAATGTAAAATAGAGCAATAACATGCCACATAATAATCAGATAACAAGATTAATAACCACAATTAACACTAGAAAAATGCCTAAATTATAAACTACATATGAAAACACAACCAATTAAGAACAATAGATTCACTTATAAACTGGATTGGGCACAGAGATTAGTGGCAATCAATTAAATAAAAGCAGGAAAAAAAGCATCTTTTATATATTGCAGAGCTTGCAGAAAAAACTTCTTGTTAACAACATTTTTTTTACTGCCGACTTATTCAATTTTTGATAAAATTAACATCTAATTTTTGTAACATGATTAATAGTTAATGTCGAAATAAGTATGCATCGATATAATGAAAGTTGCATAGATTTAAGTACTTAAGTTAACTATGCACATGGCCGAGACAAAAGATTCAAGATTGACATTAGCTATATTACGCATCGTAATTTGGCATGATATTAAAAAGACTTTTTCTTCTTTTCCCTCGCGTTTTACTGATGGGTCGTGCCTAGCTGGAAAAAAAATGGATCTAGAAAAGCGAGAATCAAATTCATTTTAAATAAATCCATCGTTAACTAAATCCAAGAAACAATTAACGGGTATAAAAAGTAAAAATACCACAAGATTATAATATTCTGAAAATCATATACAACACTCATTGTATCTTCCACTTCCAGTGGCATCAGGCATGGGAAATATTAAAGGTTAAGGGAAGAATACTATAATTGCCACAATTATCTGAAAACCCTAAAAACGAAATTGAACAAAACAACCTTAATAGATAAAATTACCTGCTTGGCTGCTCAGAGAGTCGGATGGACCGCGCAATTAGGTTCGATGGACGACGGTCGACCTAGAAGAGCGAACGGACGGCTCAGAAGTCGGACCACGCGGCGCGGTTGGGGTTAGGGATTAGGGTTGTCTGCAAATTTGAATTTGGGATTTAGATTGGAAGAGATGGATTTGGGGTTAGGGTTAACGGCTGGGGAGATTGAAGGAAATTAAGGAATGAATGGGATGGGAGAGATGAATCTACAGCTTCAATTTTTTCATTTTTGGTGAGAATTACACTATGACGTGGAATTTAACGGCCACGTGTCAATTCCGTCCTCCATGTGTGCAGCCGTTAGTGACGGGTGGAACATGGTGAGCAATGGAGTGCAACGGTGCAAAGTTCGGTGAGTGATATGGTGCAAGTTAAAATATAGTGAGTACAACGTGACACTACCCAAAGTTTAGTGAGGGTTCAAACAATTAACTCGTGGAAGGAGTATATAGTGAATTGTTTGCCATTCATTTTGGACCCATTTTAAAAAATAAAAAAATTGGACCAAAAATTAAGGCCCATTGGTTTTGGGCCAGACTAAAAAAATGGGGGCAAAAAAATGAGGCCCCTACAAAATTGGGCCTGAGGAGTGGGCCTCATCTACCTCGCCTCGTGGCCGGCCTTGACAACACTTAATTGAGATGAACTGTGCTAATGGTAGCCGGAGACTGCGACAGACAGATGCGGCGAGTCTGAGAGCGAGATGGTTATAGGTTAGTGTTCAAACGCTATAATTGAACCAGGATTCCGATTTTGCTGTGTTATAAATAAATAAATGACGGGTCGGGTCGCTTTTGATTGCTTAACCCAAAATTGACCCGACTCATTTACACCTATACGGTCACATCTAAAATCACGAATGCTATCATTTTATAATGAATATTTTATACGCTCAATAATGTTTTCTATTTTGAATTTTTGACTCTTTATTATTATTCCAAGAATATTTATTAAAATTTTATCATTTTTTATTTAATATTTTTTATATAACAATTATTAATCAATTTAAATATTATTTGAATAATTTAAGAAGTAAAGTATTATATCTTATCAACTGCAATTATTATAATGTGAGAAATAAGAATGGAAGTTGCAAAAATATATATTTCAATTCTTGACTTTTCAAATTATTAAAAATATATTTAAATTGATTGATCATTTACATATAAAATAATATGTTAAGCCTAGGTTGGTAGAGATTAAAATTAATTTTTTAGTAAATTTTAATAAAAGTTAATGAAATATATGATTGAAAATTTGTGGATCTCATAAAATATGTGATTAAAATGACATCTTCACTTAAATTTACCAAAAATCTAGATTTTAATATGTACCAAACAGGGCTAAATAAAAGACAAGGAGACATTAATAAATATTTTTTGAAACAAATAATATTAAAAACCAAAATATAAAGCGACGTGTGTTTCAAGGATTGGATTATTCTTCTATTGAAGGATACGTGAGCTGAGTTGAGAATGTAGTGAAATAAACAACGCCTTTCAAATGAGGAAAAAAAAGGTGCTTAGGGCCTGTTTGACATGATTTTTACTTTTATTTTTGCTTCTTGTAGAAGAATTTTTAGAGGAATCTATCTTAATTTTTGTTTGAAAACTAATTGTTAAAAGAACTTTTCATTTCGAAAATGTTTTTAGAGAAAGCCACGTTAGAAATGCTTATGCTAAACACTTTTTGACTAAAAGAAACATTTTTATAAAATTAATCTAAGAGCAATGTTGTTGATCATCATGATGATGAAATATCGACGATGCGACAGTTTATATGAAATAATGTAATTTGATAGTTTAATTTTTATAAGAAAGAGGGAGATTAGACAAAAAGAGAAACGTGACGGATAATGAGTTGCAATATTATCGATATTTCTTTATCGTCGTGATCCAATAACAATTTATGGGTCCTAAAAGTTCGTTCTAACTTTTCAAAATCCCCTTCGTTGGCTGGAAAAAAAATATATCCTAACAATATAAAAGAGTGAGTTTTTTTTTTACAGGTGTCAAATTCTCATGTCGCCAACCAAAAACGACGTCGTTTAACATTTCCCAATTTGTTTTCATCCATATTCCCTAGATTTGTTTCATTCTTAGGAAGATCGTGGAGGCGCTATTCTTTGACGGCGACTTGTGGTGGAGAGTTCCAAGCTCCAAATTAGGTTTACCTTCACTCCTTCCCAAAACTCTCAGATTCCTGATGAAATCGTGAGAAGAAGAAACTCCTCGGCTAAGGGGAGTAGCGTAGAAGGTACAATCAGACGTCGGATCTTCTCCATAACATATTAATCGACCCAGTGGTCGAAAACTCTATCGAAATTTCATAGCTTCTAAGACTAATTTTGTGAATAGATTGGATTGATTTGGGTTTCGTTCCCAATTAATTTCATCGAGAAAGGTAATTAGCGTACTCAAAATATACCATCTTTCTCTCTGTTTCTGTTTTTCTCTATTTGCTCTGTAATTCCTACTTGATGTCGGAAATAGAGTTGGTGACTATAGACCGATGTGGTGTGGCATATAATTATTTTCATTTTGGTTTTCTCCGATTATGTTTGAACTACTTTGACTGATAAGTAATTGGTTGGATTGTAATGTTTCGTTCTCTTTTATTGCTGAAATTTGAATGAGATAAGTATATTACTACTGCAAGTGTTGCTAGGAATGATTGTAATGGTAATGGATGAGTTTGCTTTATTATGCATGAGAAGAACGTGCTTGATCCACAAGAGTTTTTGAATCTTTTTCTTATTGGAATTATAGCAAACTAATGTTTGCCAGAGAAATTGAATTCAACTCCGGTGTCATAGTTCGAATGCTTGATCAGATTTCTCAAAAAGATCTGGATGATTCTTGCACAAGGGTGTTATACTTTTTCCATGTCTGATAGCTCTTTTCTTTTTCCGAATGGGAGATTTGAAGATAAAAAGCTTGATATCTGCCAAAAGTTCCTTCTTAAGACTGCTCGTGGTTTCAGGTCCCTGTACAGGTGCTATACAAATAACTTTACCTTCTTCATACTCTTTGTGAATCGTATCATCTTTCACTTTATTCGATTTCTTAGACTCAGTCAATTCTTTATATGTCAAATTCCTTCCTCATGCTCAAATTCTCTATGTGAATCCATTTTTGTATAGGCCATACAAGCTAACTTGTTATTTTGGAATTTTCTGTCATTTGACATGGAGAATTTAAAACAGAATTCCATTTTAGGCCATGTTTAGTACACATTATTTTTTTCATTCTCATTCTTCTACTCATTTTCAACCACACATTTTTCAATAAAATAATATTTTTCATCACATCAATAACTTTTCTTTCATTTTTAATCACACATTCTCCATCAATCTACTATTCAATAATA